AATTATTTTAACAGTTTTTAATAATCATTTCATAAATATAGTAAAAAATAATATTTATAATATATAATATATATTATAACATTTATGAAAACTATCTAATAAAAAATGTGGTGCTTTATCTCCAGTTCCAATTAAAAATTTTAACCATTCCCAAATTATTCCAAACACAGAAAAAAGGAAAAATCATTTCTTCAAATTTGTAAATTAAACTTGTTCTAAAAATTGCATCCAACATCCGGGACTATAATTTAATTTTTAATATGAGTGGATTTAGGTTGAAACATAAGAAGGTACTTAATAAACATTAAGTTGTTCTAGCGTGAATCACTTGGCAAAGTCGAGCAGCAATGTCTGAATCAGACTTAATACGGCATGCACCAAGTAGTCATGCCACCACGTACTAACGGCCTTTAATTAGACGAAATTTGCAGGGCTAATTTCGTACGGGCTTCCAATTACTCAGCTCTACTCAGCTTGGCACGGTTATCTTTGGTTACGTGGATTACTTCGATTGAATTAAATAAGCTTGCGGAGATGCTGGTTAATTAACCCCTCTATACTTCACTCTTCTTTATTCGCCTGCTCACTCGTTAGATTCCCTTACCTGGAGATTTACTAGTTTTCTGCTAATTTCATTTCGTATTGAAAGTGTCTGCGTATAAATCACGTTCGTGTAATTACGTGTGCATACTTAATAAGCTAGTGGTATTAATTTAACTTCCTTCTAACAGTTCCATTTTTCTTTTTCTTTTTTTTGGAATATTTAACTTGTTTTAATAACGTTAATTAAAAAACGAGAAAAAGACAGACAAACATTTTATTTCTTAAAATTATTATAACATGTGTACTATTTATTTGTTAGTATTAATACTCGTATACGTCATCATTAATTATTTGTGATAATAGTGCACAAAGATGAAAATTTGTAACAAAAATTTAGTAAAAACGAGTACTTGTTTAATAAAAATTTATAGTAAAAGAAATTATGTAAATTGTGATGCTTTTACTTTGTAAGGAAAGGTTTGAAGATGAATTCCAATCTAGAATAGGTAAATTGCACGTTGACAAGGCTTACTATAATTGTTATGCTTGACCATTTAAATCTGGGACACCCTGTATATGAATTTAATTTAAAAATATTTAATTTGTATTTATATTTACAACGTAATAAGTTCGAGTATTATACACAATATTTATTTTCCAATATTAAAATAACATATCTGATTACTATGTTATATTATATTATACTATATTATATTACTTATACTATTTACATAATATGTAATATAGCATATATTGTAATACAATATATTATAAAATGCCACACAGACATTTATGTTAAAGTACTGTGTTATATTATAATATAGT